AGCGTCAGCCTGCGGTCCAGAGAGACCCGGGTTTGGTTCCCGCTAAGGGCGTGTACCTCGGTTGCAGTTTGCCCCCGGCCCTGGTTGGGTCGTGCGGGTGGCAACCACTCGATGTGTCCCTTTCACGTTGATGTTTCTCTCTCTCTCTTTCCCTCCCACTCTATCTGAACAAAATATCCAAAAAAACAAACAAAAAAAGAAAGTGGCAGCCATTCCGGGTTTGGGAAACAGCTGCATTAAAATGGCTTTAAAAATATACAGCCCGAATCCTGATTTAGGGGTCTCAGGTGGCATCTGGGAATCTGTATTATTTGAAAGTCTTTGAGTTCATTCTGCAGTGTAACTAGGATTAAGAACCATGACAACTTCTAAATTTATGGGCTGGATGCTAAGAGTTAAATAATGTGATGATAAAGATTGGAAGAGATTTTTGGCTGAGGGAGAGAAGGAATGAATGAGTATACTTTTAGACCTACATTTGGGCTACCTGTGAGAAATCTGGATTGAGCTATGTATATAGGTTTAGAACTCAGAAGAGAGATTTTGTTTGGAAATAGAGAGTGATAGATGAAGCCATTGGGTTTGGAAGGTCATCCTGGAAGAATATATGGAATGATGAAAGAGATATCCAAGCATTTAGGGACACTACTATTTAGGAAGTGACCTAAGGAAGAAGAGCAAGTGAAGACACTGACAATAACTCTTCAGAGAAGGTAAGAAAATGTGACTATTGTAACAGAGACCAAAAGAGGGGAAATCCATAGAAACGAGTGGTCAACATTAGAAAAACTTGCAAACATTCAAGTAGGATAAATAAGAGCAGAAAAGTGTTCACTAATTTATAAGATGGTGACTTGGATGACCTACAAGAGCAGATTTAGTGGTATAGTTTAGAAGGAATGATGATGGTAAATGAGAAGGAAAAGGGGTGTAAGAAATTAGAAATGCCAAGTATAGACTGCTATTAAGAAAGTTGTCAATAAAGGGAAGATGAGCACGAATAATGGCTAATAGGGTCAAGGAAAGAATATATATATTTTTTATCCTCGAGGACATTTTTGCATTTATCTTCAGACAGAGCGGGAGGGAGAGAGGGAGGAAAAGAGAGAGAGAAACATGGATGTGAGAGACACATCAAGTGGTTGCCACCCACATGACCCCAACCGGGGCCGGGGACAAACTGCAACTGAGGTACGTGCCCTTAGTGGGAACCAAACCCAGGTCTCTCTGGACTGTGGGTTGATGCTCTAACCACTTAGCCAAACTGGTCAGGGCAAGAAATTTTTTTTTTTTTTACTAGAAGGGACTTGAGAATGCTAATGAGAAGAAATTAAAGAGAGGATAACCAATGGAAGTAACTTTTTTTTTCTTTATTGATTTTAGAGAGAGAGAAAGTGAGAGGGAGAGAAAGATAGAAACATCGATGAGAAAGAACATCAATTGGCTGTCTCCTGCATACCACCCACTGGGGATTTGGCCCACAACCTGGGAGTGTGCCCTGACAGGGAATCGAACCGGCAACCTCTTAGTGCATGGGTCAATGCTCAACCACTGAGCCAAACTGGCAGGGCGGGAGTAACTCTTTAAGGAAGCCAGAGGTAGGAGAGTCTGAAGTATATTGGGAGGGATCAGCTTTGGTTGGGAGAGGCAACACTTCCATTAAAATTAAAATATAGGCAAAAGAGAATGGACACAGATAAGACTTTGGTATTAGACATAGAAGTCAAAGAAATTCTTACCTGATGGTCTCTATTTTCTTAGTGAAATTGTAGAGGCCATCCGCCTTGCCTAGGAAGACGGGTGTCACAAAGAACAATGTCTGCCAGGTGCCAAAGTCCTCAGTAAATTTGATAGAATGTCTAGCACAACGTCTTTCATGTAATACATTTAGGTAGACAATGGCCAAATAAACAAATAATTGTTTATCTTCAAATAAGAATAAATGCTCACAGAAATTGAATAAATAAAGTAGAATATATGCCCATAGAAATATGACATTGGAATATAAAATATGCTGGTTTAAAGTAGACATTAAGATTAAAGAGTGAATCAAGAAAGGACTGAAATACATAAATTCTTACTGAGGAACATTTAATGTAGTCTCAATACATTTTGCATTAAAAGATTAGTTTTTTGTTCATGCAAGCATTTGGGATACACCGTCATATTAGATCTGATGTTTCTTCGCTCTCAGCATTTATTTAAAGAGACACACACTACGCCCTTGGTAACCTTGGTATAATGATGAAAGCAAGTTAGTCTATGGTGTTTTCTCACCTGCACTTTCTTCCAGGGCCCTGAATCCATTAGGAACCACTTGAACATTGCCGAAACCCTATGAAAACAATTGCAAACTGAAAAAAAGTCATTGGTTCCAAAATATGAAAATAAAACTGCAAAGCTAAAACTAATAACATCCTGTCAATTTCATTAACTGTCAAATTTAGTATTCATAAAATTGTCATTGACCCTAAAAATAATTGGTGTTCTTTCTCACTTCAGAAAAACTCATGATATGCACAGTGATTTGCCAGAAATCATATCATAGCTAAATAATTTACTTATAGCAAAGTAAGTTAAAATCAAAAACAAAATTACAACTAAGTGTATGTGAGTGAGTGTGTGTGTGTGTAAAATGGGATAATGTGTGGTGCATATTAAAATGTCTGATACATTGTTGAAGATGAAGAACTCTAAAAATAAGAGGTGTAGGGCCTTTTACTCATTAAAAAAGAACCCGCTCTCTGTTTCCTCTCACAAGTAAACAGAATGTCTCAGTTGTTCTTCATATAATTTATACCTTCCCCAAATTGAGAACTCATTCACTTCGATATGCTGGTTCTTCCAGTTATTTACCATTCTGTCTCTTATTGAGAAATAGATATTTTTGTCCCCAATAAAAAGAAATTGGTGAGAAGTACAGGAGCCTTGTCCTCCTCTCTAAACTCATATACATGTAAGGGAAACACAGAAATTAAAATTCCTTTAGTTGTTTTTATTTTTTATTTATTTTGGTGTTTGTTTTTATTTTTATTTTTCTCTCTCTAATTTTTATTAATTTATTTTTGTTATTTTGTTACAGATATTTCTCCTTTTCCCCTCCTCGACACCCTCCTCCCCAACCTGCCCCCCACCCCCCAAGCATTGTTGTCTATGTCCATTGGTCATGCATACATGCATGCAAGTTTTTTGGTTCATCTCATCCACCCTCCCCGCCCCCTACTCTGAGGTTTGTCAGTCTGAACTATACTTCTTTCTACGTCTCTGGGTCTATTTCATTCATCAGCCCACCTTGTCCTTTAGTTGTTTTTAGAATCTATGAGAGGGTTGGTTCCTAGGTCTGAAAAGACAGTATATAATGTTCAGATACTCTACATTCTCTTCCAAAATCTGTACCTTACTCGCCTGTAGCAGACAAGGGAGTCTGAGGCATTCACACTGTGCCAACACTCTCCTGCAGCTCCCCTTCCCGACTTGCAACCTGAGGTTATATGGTTTATAACAAAGCAGGCTGTCAGCTACAGTCTCCCGGCCCAGAGAAGTTCTTTGTCACATTGAACTATACCATGGGATGGAAGTGGAGTATCTGGTTGTAGCAGAAGGGCAGAGGGCATGCTAGAATGGGAAGGCACTATCAGAGCACTAGGAATTCACCCCCAGGGCAGTACATGGTGAAGGAAAGAGAGTAGAAAAGAGAGCTAAAAGAAACCAAGTACAAAATAATGTGAGCTTTGGAGACAGGATCCTAAATCCTTGTCTTTTTATATATTATTGTCTGTGTGTGATATTGATTGAATGATATATGGAAAAAATAGCATAGTTTTGTTTTGTTTTGAGCTAAAAAGAACTTTAGTGTGGCCATTGATGGTCTTTAGAAACACCGATGAATCGAATACTTTCTATGATCCATATAACTTTCACACTTAATGCTACTGGAAGCCATTCAATTCACTGAGCAAAAATATATGTGAGAATAATCATCTACGAACTTTTAAAAATAAATCAAATAGAGGGAGCTTTGGATTAATATCCTGACCCTTGTGTTTCTAGCTGTTTGTGTTACATTTAAAAATGTACTTTGTAGTTTTTAATATTTTCTTATGAAAGTGGAAATAAATTAGACTAGGTCCTGATATCTAACATTTAGTTCCCCAATCCTAATATGGATCACCTGACCCCAGATGAAGTTTTCATCAATATTGATTAACTAGAAAATATGAATTCTTATGGCAATGGAACCTAACCAGTTTAGCTTCTGCTCCTTCTGTGTGACTAGCTGCCTTCTAAGTATCATATAAACAGTCTTGGATCATTGACCAATTTAATTTTAATGCAATTGATCATATAAATGTGAGCTCTTCAAATTTACTTCTGTTAAAATTATATTATGATGATATAAAAGAATGCAGATATAAATCAAGCTGCATATCCATCAAGTATGCTTCAAGTATGAGTCACATCTGGTTCTCATATGATTTCTTTTTTTTTTTTTTTATCCTCACTTAAAGATATTTTTGCATTTGTCAGATAGAGCGGGAGGGAGAGAAGGAGGAAGAGAGAAAGAGAGAAACATCAATGTGAAAGAGATACATTGACTGGTTGCCACCCGCACAACCCCAACCTGGGGACAAACTGCAACTGAGGCACGTGCCCTTAGTGGGAACCAAACTGGGGACCCTCTAGTCCATGGGCCAACAATCTAACTGCTGAGCCAAACCAGCCAGGGCCTCATATGGTTTCTTCAACTCACCTTTATCATACATTTAAATATCCATGGGGCCCACACACATCTGGGAGTTCTTCTAATAATGTGACTTTCTACCTAAAAAACTTTGACTTCTATAATTCTATGATTTATTTCATAATCTATACAGCTTTATTTTTTACCTAAATCAATAACACAAAGGTGAGTCTCTTAACTTATGCCTAAAAAATCAATTAAATTGTTTTAGAGATTTCTTTATTTTTCTCCTTTTTAAATAGGAATTTACTGATTGACAATGGCAGAAGCAATTATAGAGAAGTTAGATGTTCTAAATGAGCAAGCAAAGATACTCTTGGACAGAAGAAGAAAGGTTTGTAAAATAAAAGCTAAAATTTAATTATTAAAAGATTATAATTTCAAATGTGAATGATTTTTACTTTTTAATTAATATAAAGATATAATTTAATTTGTAAAAAACAAATAAATATATTAGTTGGAAAAGTCACCTATGTAAGTGAATACTATAAAGAATTAATTAGGCCCTGGCAGGTTTTGCTCAGTGGTTAGAGTGTCGGCCTGCGGACCAGAGAGTCCCAGGTTCGGTTCCCGCTGAGGGCATGTACCTCGGTTGCAGTTTGTCTCTGCCCTGATTGGGGTTGTGTGGGTGGCAACCAGGCAATGTGTCCCTCTCACATCCGTGTTTCTCTCTCTCTCTCTCTTCCTCTCTCTCTCCCTCCCGCTTTATCTGAAGAAAAATGCAAAAATGTCCTTGGGTGAGGATAAAAAAATAAAAGAATTAATTAGATATGAGGTAACTTGTAGAGTTGTCATATTAGCTTATGATATTTTTATTGATTTTTTTTAGAGTGTGAGAGAGAAACATTGATGTGAGAGAGAAACATCGATTGGCTGCCTCCTGCACACCCCCACTGGGGGGGATCAAGCCCAAAACCTAGGCATACACCCTGACCAGGAATCGAACCAGGACCCCTCAGTCCATGGGATGATTCTCAATCCACGGAGCCACACTGGCCAGCCAGGTTATGGTGTGTGTGTGTGTGTGTGTGTGTGTGTGTGTGTGTAAATTGAGGTTAATTTTGTCCTTTCCACACAAGATTTTCCCTATATGAAAAGTACTCTTTATTTCACAGTGTTATACTTTGGCTTTATTGCAGAAAAACAGTCTTCAGAGTTGCATAAAGAAACAGACTTTCATTACACCCCTGACATTTGATTTCAAGTTGGAATTTGAAGAGGATATTATTGCTACATCTGCACATCTGACAGTATCAAAGAGCAGAGAAGACAAGTCACATGCTATTGAAAAACCTAAGAGGTAACTATCATAACTATTTTAAACTTTCAATTTGGAGTTTTTAAAGCATTACTTTAGATTTGTCTTAGATTATTCAGTCTATCTTAAATGTCAGCTTTGTCAAACGTAGGTATATTTCATAATTGTTTTGAGTTATAACATACTAGATAAGCATTCAGAATATTTCTAGTTTATAAAGTATTTATTATAATGTTTCACTATTGCACATGTTAATTGCAGGTAGTAATTACAATTTTGAATTTTTAAAGAAAGACTTTTCTTGAGCTGTATTATATTGCTGTAAATTAATGTCAGGCTTTATTTCAAACTTTGACTAATATACTGCTATCAACTGATGGTTGTTGGCACCAAGCCAATGCCAACAGGAATCCCCAATTTGAGGTGCAGTGAAGAAGGAAACTTTATTCAGTGCAAACAGTTCAATTGTGATATAGCATGGCTGTGAGAACAGCAAGACTGTGGAACAACTCAATAGTGGTACAGCTCAACTCTGGTCCTGTAAGACATCTTCAGTATTTCAGCTCCAACTGGGGAAACAGTCTTCAGACTTTGTTGGAAAGGTGTACTCTCAGAGCCAGAGGGGAGCTGACTTACATAGAGAGAAGTCCCCAACTCTGGTCCCTTAATTGGTCTGTCCTCATGCAAATGAAGACTTCAAATCCTCAAAGTTTGATTGGTCCAAAAAGCACTGTCTTGATTGGTCAGAATGGAGCCACTCTGACTGGTCAGTGAGGCTGATAGGGATATAACTGCTGCAGCTCTGATTGGTCAGGGAAAGACTCGGTCCTATTGGTTGAAATACAATTCCAGAAATTCCTTTATAAGGGCTGGCTCAGATGGCAGGCAGGTAGTTCAGGCAGTTCAGTGCAGGTTTCCACCTGAAGTGCAGTTTGTGTGAGAAGCTCCTGTATAGAAACAGCTGCTAGGTTCTGCTATTTATTTATTTACTTGTTATTTTTAAAATCCTTACCTGAGAATATGCTTTTATTGATTTTAGAGAGAGAGGAAGGGATAAAGAGAGAAACATCGATCAGTTGCCATTCATTCCTGCCCTAACCGGGATTGAACCTGCAATGTAGGTATATGCCTGACAGGGAACTGAACTTATAAACTTTGGGTATATGTGACAATGCTCCAACCAAGTGAGCCACCGGGCCAGGGCAGCTCTGTTTTTTTTGTTTGTTTGTTTGTTTTTTAAATCTGAAGCCCAGTTAGCCACCAGGAGCCCTTCTTAATGATACCATCTTTGTCAGGATTTATACTGAAATGAAAAAAAAAGTCCACCTAGAAAATTAAGTAAGGAAGTTTCTTTGTATACTAAAAGGAATAGTCTGAATATATCATATTTGGCCTTTCACTGGCATTGTGTAAGTGTGTAATGCTATATAATTTTTCAAGGCCTCAGAAATGTAGAAGAGAGCCCAGATAAAAGAAATACTAAGATGTAAAACCAATAGAACCTCTTCGAGCTTCTCTTTTCTCGCTCTTGGCCTCTTAATTTCTTACTGCTTTTAGGGAGCTCTCAGATGTCTTTAAACAAATGTTTTAACATTTTATTCACCTTTTTTGTTGTTCTTAGAAGATAGCTGGTCCTAACCACCTAGTCTTCTATCTCCAGAAGTGAAACATAAATTGTTATTTAATATAACATTAGATTTCACTCATACTTGAATAATCCTCATTCCGATATAACTTATTTTTTCCCCCTAAGGCTCTAAACCAAATTCAAATAAAAAGTCCTTGTAGATAACTTTTGTTTATCTTTGTTGCAATAGCTCTGTTATCGCACACTACTATAATTTTTCATTTATTGATTTTGTTCTATAAGTATTTATAGAGTGCCTGTGGTACTCTGGAGATACAACAGCAACAGTGAAATATACCTGTTTGCTAAAATTCAGTGGAGGGTGGGGGGGTGCAGATAAGTGAACAGGCAAAAACCAGTTGCTACTGAGAGATTCCTAATAGGAGGATCGACAAGGGTTTCCTAGAGGAGATGGCACATCAGCAGAGAGCCAGAGAGTTAGGGAAAAGGCAACAAGATTTAAAAGAGAGAAATACGTTCCAGGCCATGGCAATAATATGAACAAAGGGCCAGACAAAGGCAAAGGGAATCTCAGTTAATTTGGGGAACCAAAAGTAGTTCAGTGTTTCTAGACTTGAGTGGGATACAGGACAGAGACTGCAGAGGGCGGTTAAGAAGTGAGGCTAAAGCGGTATGTAAAAGCCGGATCACCAAAGGCCTTCTGAGCCCAGGAAAGAACTTTGGACAATCTCCTAAACCATCAAAGAGCGTCTGAAGGGTTTAAACAGGGCAGTGCATATTCAGATTTGGATTTTAGAAACATTATTAAACAGCAAAAGAGGTCATTAAAAATTATGAGGGCTCCTCAGTAAACCTGACCCTTTACTTAATTCGTATTATCTCCAGAAATTGCCTTTTCCGGGAAGCCATCCATCTTGCAGTGAGTCCTTTTCAAGTCCTAACTAAATGATTGCTTAAATAACAGCATAAGGCAGAAAGTTTCTATCTCCATATAAAGAATGATATGCTGGTTACATCAGTTAAACTGTGTAGATTCAGTTCCTCCAAATCTTAAGATGCAGCTTCTGGATTTATAAGCTATGCTAATTATAACTAAGATACGAGTCTTCAGCTGAGCTCATAACCCTCATTCCAACATCAAGCCACTATGTCAGATCTGATTCACACAGCTTTCAGCTTAGCCTAAACTTTACATCATAACCGTCACCTCCTGGACCAGAGACTTTCTTGTAACTGCATGCATGCTTCTTTCTTTTTTTGACCTCTAGCCTCTTGCTATTCAAAGTGTGGTCTTTTGTCTAGCAACATTGGTATCACCTGGGAGCTTGTTTGAAGCGCAGAATCTCTAACTCCATCCCAGACAGAAGCTGCATTCAACAAGATCCTACAAGAGATTCCTAAGGACACTAACAATTGACAAGTGTTTCTTCTAGCACAGAGGTTCTCAAATGTAGAGGGCTTATTAAAATACAGATTGCTGGGCCCCACTTGCAGAGTTTTTGATTCAGTAGTTCTGGGCTGGGGCCTGACAATTTGCATGTTTAGTAGATTTCCGGGTAATGCTGACGTTGCTGCTCAGGGTACCACCCGCTGAGTCACTGCTCTAGCTTGTGTCCCACTCTAATCATGCTGCCTAATACCAACATCTTTTCATTCTTTTCCTTGGCTTGCTGAATAGCATAGCAACTCTCAGCCTGGCGCTGTGATCACCTAATTGATGGAACCTGCCCAGGTTTAGTTGTAGCTGAGCTTTGCTTTCAGAGTAGTTAATTTCCAACCCAACTGCACATATTATTCTTCTTACCTGGGGAGCTTTAAAATAATTGGATTCTACTTTAATCATTTTGGAGTGTGGCCCAGGCATTACTATTTCTAAGATTTCCCAGATGAGTCTTATTTATATAAAGCTAGGATTGAAATTCGTAGGACTTCTTTGTCAGTTACTCGCAGACATCTTTTCTGTTATTATTAGCCCAGGATTTCTGCATTTTTCTTGGATAAATGGGAACTGATAAAGGTGTTAACCTTTATCACCTGGAAATATCTTCTTAGGATTACATTTCTGATAATCAGAGAGTTTTATAATCACTCAAAAATATATCTTAGTCCTTTGCCTTTAATTTGTATGGAGTCTTTAATATATCTCAATAAACATCAAACCTACTCTTCTCTGCAACTTCTTATAGATGACCCTTTTACAAAAGAACCACACTCTTTTATCAAAAGTCCTTTTTAAAAAAATTACCTGTAATAAGGAACTTTAAGAAGAGAGATGAGTGATTTTTTTCATTACCTAAACACTCACTACTGCATTATCATGTGCAAATGATATGCTATGCTATTCAGCAAGCCAAGGAAAAGAATGAAAAGATGTTGGTATTAGGCAGCATGATTAGAGTGGGACACAAGCTAGAGCAGTGACTCAGCGGGTGGTACCCTGAGCAGCAACGTCAGCATTACCCGGAAATCTACTAAACATGCAAATTGTCAGGCCCCAGCCCAGAACTACTGAATCAAAAACTCTGCAAGTGGGGCCCAGTAATCTGTATTTTAATAAGCCCTCTACATTTGAGAACCTCTGTGCTAGAAGAAACCCTTGTCAATTGTTAGTGTCCTTAGGAATCTCTTGTAGGATCTTGTTGAATGCAGCAAGTAGATAGATTAACAATTAGATTAATAGAGGTTTCTCATTAGAATAATTTTTTTCCAAAATAATATATCCACACCAAGACCTGTCAAAAGAACATTCCTTTTAGAAATATTTATATGACAGATGGATAAACTTACATACAAAATAGATAATTAAATATGAGTAGAGAATACAGTTGCAACCTATAGTGAAATTTAATTGGTAAAATTCTTTATTCCTTTAGTGTAATACATGTTTTATACTCTGTGTGACATTAGCCTGGCATAGAGATTACAGTTGCAGGTTTGTTTCCTAGCTTTGCTTCCTGGTAACTGTGACCTTGGGCAAGTTATATAACCTCTTTGTGCTTCAGTCTCCTTATCTTTATAGTGGAGATAATAAAAACATGCATCCCATAGCGTTGTTGTGAGAGTTAAATGGATTAATATGTGTGAAGAGCTTAAAATTGTCCATACAGTAGGCACTCAAAACAACAAAAATATAATCTGTATTCTTGCTATGTACAATCATATATTCTAATCATTAGAAATAAAATAGTAATGAGATGTTCTTGAGCCACGTTTACATATGACAATCATTTCTAAAATCTTAGGTAAAGTGTAAGTTATAACAGGTAAGTGGAATGGATCCAGAACAGATAGGATAGAGAAAGACATTTAAGTGAGTGGAAAAAGAGATTCGTGGTTATCTTGCCACTAACCACACAATTCCTCAGTTACACGGACACAGGCTCCTTTAAGGCCCATGAAGATTCTGGAAAGGTAACAGCCTCAGCTCCTCCAAGTCTCTGGGGGGGGAGTTTCA